AAGTGTTATGATCTCACGATTTGAAGTTTTTCTAATTAATCTTCTTAGCTGGTCAGGTTTCAGTTGTACCATATGCCGCAGAATAGATAAGTTTTTCTTTTTCATTTGTGATTGGAGTAGTTTCTGCTTCAGATAAGGGTAAATAAAAAACTGTTGGCCCAGGTGGTGTGATATTTGAACAATATCTCAAACAATCTGATGTACGGGGGTCCAAGTCGATTAGAAGATGTCCAAAAGAGTCTCTGGTAGCTAATTCGTAACAGTTTCTCAAAAATTTTGATACATTCAATTGTCTTCCTAATAGATCTAGTTGCTGAACGTCGCGAGGCGATTTGAACAGAATGATGTGTGAAGTGTTCAAATCAATCGTACGCGACCATCGACTTTGTTGAAACAAGTTATGCTTAACATATATTACATCTATCCCTCTATGTCTACCCGCTGTCGCTAACCTAACAAATTCCTTGTCAATATAGATGTCTTCACATGAATCATCGAAAACTAGAAGAACATTTTCTAATTTTCTCACAGATTCGAATCCGTCGAATTTCATGAACTCCATATTCACTTCGCGAGAAGACACTTTTTCTGAGAATGCAGGTTGCATCTCTTTGTAAAGATATAGAACGGTTCCAAATTTAGGGTAAAAAGTATTTCCCATCAGAAGTTTCAAAATTAACTCAGTTTTCCCGGATCCTGAAGGTCCCACTATCGCCATAAAAATTCTTGTCGAAGTATCAATCACTTTATTCATATTCTTGGGTTTGGTAGTACGTAACCAACCAAGCCTGATAAAATCGAGAACCAAACTGACGTTTCTTCGCAACTTAATTTAGTGAAAGAAAGTTTGAGAATGCAGAAAGTTAGTAAAATTAGAATTACTACCATTTGCGCAACAAAAACTACTTCAGACCTTGGCAAAGTTACATTGTTACAAAACTTCCATGATTTTTTTTCACTGTTTGTCTCGTTATAAACAAACTCTGTTACTAATGTTGCGTCAGGTTCATCTACTGCTGTTGTTGCTTCTGACATTTGAGAAACTATTTATTCTACAGACTGCGTTAGACTTTTTCTCTCTGCGAATGAAGCTTGTAAAAAATTAAATTACTTTTGAGAACAGTAAAAAATTTCATAACGTGTGAAATCTCTATCATTTATGTCATGCATTTCTAAAACAAAGTTTGCTGGGATATTTGCGGTTTTTTTGTAGTACATTATTTTCTTCACAGTATCCTCTTTCACAATCGTCTTAATCTCATCTGGCAATTCACTGCTGTTTAGATCCATCTGAACTCCTGGCTGACGTTTGGGTACTAAGACTAGTTCGGGAAGACATACTCCTCGCTTGCTGGCTAACATTTCTGATAAACTTGAATCTCTGGAAGTATACAAATTGATCAATAACTGGAAAAAACCTCTTCAACGTAGACAACTCTTCTTCGGAAATTATTATTTGCTCCTTCCTCTGAACAATTTGGCCACTGCAATCAATACGCTCTATTCTCGTTAATGAAATTTTAATATCACCCTCTGGAGTCATCCACGCACAAAGCATTGAATTTTGTGATAGGTATGTCTCCACTTTCGCTGATCTCTCGCTGTTGTTCATTTTTCAACCAATCATAAAAAACCTTGGTTTTCTTCAAGGCACAATGATTCCTGGAGTTGTAATGTGGAATATGTTTATTGCAACTTGGATAATTTTTAAAATATAAGTTTTCAACCCGAGGACAGCCCAAATCATCTAGGTTTTCAATCTTTCGGTCCAAGTACTTGGCCAAAAATTCTGTCTTTTCTTTTCCTTTAGCGTAAAAAACGGCACCAGGATTTCTCAGCACAAAACTCTGAAGTATTTGATTCAAGTTTATATAAAGATAATCACCGTTTTCCCAATGGAGACCGTGTAAATAATTAGTTAACCAGTTGTAAGCTTTTTGTTCAAGCTTTGGTAGTATATTGAAATTCACTGGAGGTAGGAAAATGAGTCGATCGCTGTAGTCTGAAGTTGTTATTGCTAATTCTTTAACCACAAAGGCGTTTTTCTTGTAACGAAAGCCTTCCACGTCAAGCACAACTGATCTCTCGCCTAGCATTCTAGTAAATGATAAACTTCTGGTTTTTTCAACTTAATGAAAAGGCAGAACGCTATTCCACTCAAATGTCCCAATAAGCTGTTGTTACAGTTCCAGGGCAACATGTAACAGTACGTGGGACCCTGTTGATAAAATTCGTGTATAAATCCGGCCGCATCGTGCAAAATAGCGTGCAATCGTAAAATTTTGGAATTTTTCAAATATTTGTCCAAGGAAGAGTTATCAATACCAATCAAGCCACCATAAGGTCTCAACTTAATTAAAATGTCGTAGTTAAGGTTATCAGAACTAACAAAAAACAGAGAACATGCAGCTAGAAAATAGTTGCGTCGGTTAGAATTATCAGGATAAGTTTGTTTCAAAGACGTATAAATTTCGTGAATTATTTTCAAATCAATAGGAGTTACTCTGCTTTTTTGCAATTTCATTATTTATTTTTTCCAACACCTCTCCAACCTGCTGAATTTCAAGCCAGTGGAAATAAAAGTGACCTTGCAAATACCATTTAGACTCATTAAGATAACGGTGGTAAATAATTAAATAAACCACCGGAAGTTTTTTGTATTTTGATAGCTTGTTGAAACATAGACGGATTTTTCTCTCCAAGTCTTTATCAACCCATAATGAGTTAAAGTCAAACGAATAGTCGAAAACGTTTTCATAATCAGCAATATTCAAATCGCTCACAGTGCCATACTTTTGTTTTGTAGAAATGCACCAAGAGATTTGTTGAAGCTCACTCAAATAAAATTGTTCTTTGAAAATCAACTCGTATTCTTTCTTTGAAATTTCCTTTGCCCTTTCGAGGAAGACGACGTAGCGTTCATTACATAATTTGAAAAATGAGTTTTTTTCTGCGGTTGAAAACACTCTTAATTGTAAATGTTCATTATCAATATCTTCAGTACACCAAGTTCCCTCTAATTTCATTTTTCTTATTTCAAAATTTGACAATTTTATCATTTGGTATATTTTGCCCAGAAACGGCCGCCGCCTTTTGAGAGTAATTTCAATTTACTGCCTTTTCACCATAAAATTTAGGTCAAGTTAAGGAATTAGTTTACTGCTGCCAACAGTTAAGCTACGCTGCCAAAATGGCCGGCGAATTTTTATTATATACCATAAAAGTCAATTCCCCGTTCACTAACAAATTTCAACTAGGTCGAAAGTTCATTTACCCTAAACAAGCATAACAATTAATATGATTCATATAATTAATCAGGACCAATAATTGGGACCCCAAAATTTGGAATTAGAAAGATTTTTGTATCGTGTCCCTTGTTGTTAAGCTAAACTTAGCAAGATCCTAAGTAGGGGGTCTTCTGCTTTTTGGGTGGAAAATCTCTTTCGTTTACAAAATCCTAGGATGAGGGTCCTCCAAAAAATTAAGGACCCCTTTCCTAGGATTTTGCTTTACGTGAGGACCCCCCCCTTAGGATCCGGGACCTCACTCTGGGGTGAGTGTAAGTCTGTACCTCCTTCTGGGAAGCGGTTTATATCTCCGAACCTCACTTATCCAATAACTGTTTCTACTGGGGGTGAGCGGCTACCTTGAATCAAAAGCCTTTGTTTGGATATTGTTGCAATCTTCTTTTCAACTATTTTACTTTCACACTCTTGCTAATTCTTTGATTTCGAAATAGTTACTTTGAAATGCGGAAATGATCATGATTACGATATTTACGCAAAAAAGCGAGAGGATTTCTTTATCAGATTGTTCAAACATTAATAGAGCCACAAAAACTGTTACCGATTTTTTTTTCGCTTTTGTCCCTTTTCAATTTACCAATTTTGACCGTATGATATGAAGCGCTTTACTTTTCGCAAAAGTAAAGCTGAGCTTCGCAAAAACAAGCGAGAAAGTGACAAGAAAGCAGCTCTATAAAATGAAAAAAAAAAAGTAAAATAAGCTTTGACAATAAAAAAACTCGAACCTACGACTAATCGATTTCGAGTCCCTTGTCCTCGAATCTGCGCCTAGAGCCTAGACAATTTACTAACACAAACCAGAAACAAAGCAGCTACAAATGCTACGAAATTGCCAAGGATATGCAGCAAAATTGGCACCAGATATAAAAAGACGCATATTTTTCACGTAATAACTTGGAATAAACTAACTTAAGGCGTCAACACTAACTTTGATGTAATCAATCGGAAAGCATGAAGCCAAATTATGAAAAAATTATGCATTTCAAAACAAATGGCAGATATACTGGGAAGGAAAATTTCTGAAAAGTAATTTCTATCATTGCAATTTTGTTCAAAACACATTGCTTTTTTCGGTTCATTTGATGAATCAAAAATGTTTTCGGTTCATTTGATGAATCTGTGTTAACTTATTGCTTATCGAACGTCAAAGCACATGCTATCAAATCCTGCAAAGGTGCAGCAACATTGGCATCAATAATTGCAACTTCAGTTGGAAAAAAGAATAGCCGTACTATTACACTACGCTTGCCAGTGTCAAAAATCTTTCTCATTTTGTTAAATATCTAAGAAGTTTTGTAGTTTTGGAAATTTTCTAACCACAAAACACTTTGTCTATAAAAAAATTCACCAATGGTATTATCACAGAAGCTAAGCATAGTTTCGTACTACTTGTCATATTCGGTAACATACTACGGCAAGCCAGGAATGCATACGTTATGAACGATGTATAAAAAACTTTCTCAATTGAAAACATCAAAATTGTAAAACGGTCGAGAAATTCGCTCGTCAGTATTATCAAACCAAATTTGACACTCACCAAAAGGTGATTTTTCAGTTTTTTTGGAAGGTTTTAAAACAAAAGCTAATCAAAAGTTCCTGCCGGCCACTTTCTTTGACACAGTCGGAACAAGTATTGGGTAAAATTAATATGAGCTTGAAAATTTATTCTCCTAGGAATCACCAGTTGAGTCATACCTCGTAGAAGTAGGATGCCATGATGGAGAGTAGAGAAGCAGACCACTCGCCCAGACCGACAAAAGCCAACAGAGTCACTGCCACATCGAACAACAACTTCCAGCTCAGTTGACTGTTCTTCTCCGCCTAGAACAAAAAATGAGTTTTAGTATATCGAAGGATAATCTTTATCGCATATAACTCTTAGTTTGAAGCCATAACTCGCAGGCAAAAATGCGCTCCCACATTTTTTTGAGAGCTATAATATCATTCCAAAATGCAAAAAAAAATTTAGAAAATTTTTGAATAGCTTTAAAGAAAATTGCGATGAAGTAATTTGAAAAATGTAACTTTTTCTATTGACGCCATTCTCAAGCAATGAATGTTTGAAATATTTCCTATTTTTTTTATAGCGCGAGTCAGTTTGCTTAAAGTTAATTTTTTTTGCGCATGGAGGTTACTGTTTTTGGTTGATTCGTTTCACAATGAAATGAATCTAAAAACGCAAAATTTTGGACAAAAATTGGGCAGAGGCTGTCTAGCCTTGAAGTTGAATCGAGTTCATGCTGTTTAAAGAGTTTCGGACTTTTTCAAAAACATTCTGAATATTCCAGACTGATTGACAATTCTTGCCTAAACGCCTTTCAACAATTGAGCCTGATGGTTGCACTGAATGATTCTTAAGCGTTCGGATGTAAGCCTTGTTAAAGGTTGTACTCGAAAGCAAAGTTAAAAAGCTGCGTCCATAACGTTATAAGACTTTCATTTTCTGCTCGTAACAAGACATAAGCCCTGAATGTTCTGACTGCTCTTAATTGGCCTCGGATAATTTTTGGTTCAAAAAATAGGCAAAACTATAATTTTTAGGCTGATAAAATCAAAAATCAAGTGTTGCAATTTGAGTCGTGAATGGAGTTAATAAAATTAACAAGCGTGTAACGCACCTCCGGTGCTTCGAATTTATGACAGTCATAAAAAAACGGTATATATTGGAAATAATATTTGCATCCTTTGAGTGTACTCTGACAGCACCCAATTACAGGGCTGGCAATTTCAAATTTTGCAAAGTTAGTCAAGTTTTTTTTTAATTCAAATTTTGAAAAAACATACAATTTTGTGATTCTTTTCTAATCGAAGTTTGTTGAAAAATTTTAAAATGACAGTCAAACCTCTCATCTCGGAAATTAAAAGCAATTGAGCATTTGAATTTTGACGCAAGATTTGTAACTTCTGAGGGTACTGACAGTAGTCAACTACAGGGTCGGAAACTTCGAATTTTGAGAAAACTCAAATTGAAGTTTTCTGATTATGTTTTTGAAAAAACCAAAAGTGCCATATCTCTAAAACTACAAAAAATTGAGCACTCATTTTGGAGGCAAGATTCGCAACCCCTGAGAATACTCTGGCAGCCCCCAACTTCAGGGTTAGGAATTCCACAAACTTTGAAAAATTAAATTTAGGTTTTCTGAATTTTTTTGAAAAAATCATTAAAACGACATATCTCGAAAACTACGACAATTTAGGCAGTCAAATTTGAAGTAAAAACTCGCAACCCCTAGGAGTGCCCTGATAAAGCCTCACTAAAAAGAGATGGGAACATAAGAAAATTTTTAAATCTAAATTCTTTGAACAATTAATAAAAACTACGAACGTCACATCTCAGAAATTGAAAGCATTAGAGCAGTTGCATTGGAACGCAAAACTTGTAACATGAAACCTTGAGAGTACCCTTACAGTACCCAACTACAAGTTTGAGAATTTCAAAATAGTTTGAATTTTTTAAAATCCAAGTTTTCTGAAAAATTAAAAAGAAATCATAAAACACGTCATATCTCAAAAAGCTGAGCAGTCATATTTGAAGGCAAGATACGCAACCCGAAAGACCCTGAGATGACTCTGACAGCCCCCATAACAAAAATTTCAAATTTCGAAGAAAAAAAATTAAATTTAAGTTTTCTGAAATTTTTTGAAAAAATCACAGAAAACTGGGAAAGTACAAGGATTTGAATAGTCAAATTCACAGGCAAGGTTATCCGCTACCATTGAGAGTAAGCTCAGAGTTTCTAACTACAGGATTGAGATCTTAAAAACTTTAGATTTTTTTAATCTTAGTTTTTTTTGAAAAGTTTTGAAAAAATCATAAAAAACGTCATATCTCGAAAACTACAAGGATTTGAGAAGTGAGATTTGGAGGAAATTTTTGGAGGAAGTGAGATTAGGAGAAAAATTTTTGGAGGAAGTGAGATTTGGAAATTTTCTGAAAATTGTTTGAAAAAATCCTAGAAAACGTCATATCTCGAAAACTACAAGAAATTGAGCAGCAGCCATATTCAGAGGCAAAACTTCCAACCACCTGAGAGTACCCTGACAGATTCCAATATCAGGATTGAGATCTTCAAAGTTTTTGATTTTTAATATTTAAGTTTTTTGAATATTTCGGAGAAAATAATAAAAAAAACATTATATCTCGAAAGAAAAACAAAGATTTCTGCAGTCATAATTGGCGGAAAATTCGCAACTCCTGAGAGTACCCTGAAAGAGCCTCACTACAGATACAGAGATGGTAATTTCAAGTTTTGTGAAATTTTTTATATCTTAGTTTTCTGAAAAATTCTGAAAATCCAAAAAACGTCATATCTCGAAAGCTACAAGGAATTGAGCAGCCACAATCAGTGCCAAAATTCGCAACCCCTGAAAGTACCCTCACAATATTCAACAACAGGATTGAGATCTTCAAAATTTTGGAATTTTTTAATATCTTAGTTTTTTTTTTTGAAAAGTTTTGAAAAAATCATAAAAAACTTCATATCTCGAAAACTAAAAGGATTTGAGAAGTGAGACTTGGAGGCAAGATTCGCAACGCCTGAGAGTACCCTGGCAGCACCTAACTACAGGGTTGAGAATTTCAAACTTTAAGAAATTTTTTAAAGTTACGGTTTCTAGAAATTTTTGAAAAATCTCAAAAATTGCCGTATCTCGTAAATTAAAAAGATTTGGTTACTCATATATGGAGGCCAAAATTGCAACACCTGGTGAAGCCCTGACAGCATCCAAATATTGGGCTGCTATTTTCAAACTTGGTGAAATAACACTGAACTCAAACTGAAAAATTGAAAAATCTTAACCAGTGCAATATACGATATAGCTTAAACGTGACAAAATTCTTTTGTTAAACATGCAAAAATAATAGGTTGAAAAAGCTTAAACATGGCGAGATAGTGAAGCCCTCATTTAAATATATAATAGATTAGCTGCTTCAATTCAATGTGGAACAATTTTGTAGTGCGGGATAATAAAACAAGCATTTTTTTACTAGGCTGGCCCCATGAAGATCAAGAGGTCGATCCCCCGAGGGTCCAGAGTTTTATACAAGTGGTCTGAACCTCCCCGAGCATATATATTCCTCACTTACTTTGAATTTCGGAACAATAAGTAACAGCAGGAGCAGCGGAGAAGCAAAAAAATCTACTCACAGAATGTTTCAGCAACACATGTGCGATCTCGTGTGCAAGCACAAAAGCCAACTGATGCTCATTTTGAACGAACTCTGTAATAAATCCGGTGAAGACGAAGATGTGGCCATTCTACTGAAACAAAACAACGAGTAAACACTTCAAGCTTCTTAAGGTGGAAAGACTTCTCCGCTGAGAGAAACATCTAAAAAAAGACCTGTTGAGCCAAAAAATAAATCTGAGTCCCATTTTAAAAACTAAGAAAATTCACGCGTATTAAGCGTGAACTGAGAAAATTCACGCGAGCGCGCACAAACAAAAAGCAATAAATTCGGATAGCGTCCCATATACTCACTAAAACTATCAGAAAAAATTTAAAAATCCAAACTTTATTCTCCACGTTGGGACAAATTGTCTATTCTTGTTTTTTTTAGCGTTTAGTCTTAAGTAACTGAATCATCAGTCTAGCGTTACACTAACCGGAAGCACGAATGCATTTTTGGTTGGTGAATGAACAACCGTGAGTTTCCAGGGTATGTTACTGACAGCTTCTAGATCGCGATTTGCTCGTAAGACTTTAGCGGCCGCTAATTCCACAACCTGAAAAGGAATTGGAATCTAAATACACGGGCGGATCTAGGATTTTCTGCACCGCAGGCTGAACTTTGAAATAAACAAGCCAAAAAAGTCGCTTTAGGCGCCTTAAGAAAAATTTAAGAGTCCTAAGCCAAAAACGGATATCTCAAATTACTACAAAGGGGGGACCCTTTAGGTCGGCAGCGGGTTGAATCCCTGAGGGGGGATACGCCATCCGCCCCCCTAAATCCGCTGGTGTCTAAACATTACATACCGTTGAAAATAATTTTCATTCCGCACATTGAATTTGAGGGAAAATTTAGTTCGTTAGTTACATTTTTTGCAATCAAAATGCATTCTATGCAATCTTATTTTGCAAAGAACATAGCTGAAATTAGGGAAAAAAATCTTTAAAACATTTTTTTTCCAATTTTTTCCAACCCTTCGTTTTTTAAGCAAGTCACAGGGGACTAAACTGATCAATCAGATTAAAAATAGCCAATAAGAGCAAAAAAAAATATTTGAAAAATGAGGAATACTTTGAGGATTGCAAATGCAGTGTGATGTCTTACCGGTCTGAAAAATAGTCTGAAAAAAGGAAAAAATCAGAACAATTTTTTTAAAAATCCAAATAACGGCTGAAAGTGCTGTAACATGATAAGAAAATGGACTGAGGGTTCTAAGAATGGATGCCTCTACGAGGCTGGAACACGCATCACCCAACAGAGTGGTGCCCAATATCTATTCATTTTACATCAGTCTCTTGTCTCTCTAACTCAATCAGAAGCTCAGCGCAGAGATCGATGTAGCTACAACAACATCAACAATATTGACTGAGTTTTCTTTAATCTTGTCAAAGTTAGGATCGAAATAAGACTGATGAATTGTTTGCTCATTCTGATATTTTTCTGAAAGTTTGAAAATGATGAACTCTATGTAGTACAGTCAACAATTTATATTCCACTCATATGAAAATTTCAAGCCAAATTTTCTCAAGCTAGGATGAAACGCAAATAAAACTCACTCAAATTCGGGCCTAGCTTAAAAGGCAGTCGGAACATTCAGGGCTTCGCCCTGATACGAGCAGTCTTGTTGGATTTGTTATCACTGAACAGTTTTGTCTGAACGAAAACTTTCGTACACAAAAATTTTGTTCACACTGAAATCGTAGAAAAACGAAGAGAAATTTTTTTCTTCTAGCTTTTGTTATATTTGGTTTCCGTTTTGCGAATTCCAATAACCATTTGAGAATAATTGGAGCTGTTCCAAATTTTGCCAAACTTGCTTGTCGACATTTTAAACGTAGCAGTAATTTGGAACTGAACTCAACTTTGCTATTTTGATGTATAATCCATTGTTAAAACTTTCTACAGTCCACGTACAAAAACAGCTGCTGCACCTTTGAATTGAACCAATACTTCTCTTTAAACCGAAAACAGCATTAAAGCCACACAGGTAAAGATTCAATTTTTTTTTCAAAATTAAAATTTAGTGATGCATCCCTTCACTATGTTCACTTAGAGACAGGCTGTCATACAAATCTTGGATTTTCTCGATCGGGTATTCCAGAAACTTTTTTTCACAACAAATCAAATAGTTCCTCACCAAAAGCTACAAAACCAGTTTCTAATTTCACTTTTCTTTTGCAGTCGAGCCATATATTCTATGTGATTTAGGTCAAGTGAGTGAGCTGGCCAGGTGGTCTGGTTTATGTTGTTTATCCAGAAATATCTAAGTCATTTCCTGGCTGTATGATTAGACGCATTTTCCTGATGAAAGACAATTTCATTGCCACAAAAAGAGTCAAATATATTGGGTAAGTAGGATTGTAGGGAATCGATATACTTATCTGCAACAACATTTGCACCTAAAGGACATAGTCATATTTCAAGAAATTTTGAAAAATGGTCAAAAAGAGGACGTTACTCTGCCCAAATTTCTAGAGAATTTAAGGGCTTTTTTCGCGATGTGGATGAGGCGTTAACTAATTTGTAAAAAAAAATTTAATTTTTTCTTTTTGCTATTTGGTTTCATAAATATTATATTTATCACTTATTCATAACTCATTGATGTGCTTTTCTTTTGTGTAATCTGTGGGGTACGCTCCTAGTGGGTTTGAAGAAAACCCTTTGCGTATCCTCACTTAACAATCCTGGGTAAACTGTTGACTCATTTATTATGTAATAAAAAATATTCTTTTTGTTTAATATAATAGTGTATCTGATTTTGTTAAGTGAAATTAATTCTTCTTCTTCTTCTAACGTTTCCAGACAATTTAAATACTTTTCTGGCTCCGTGAAAGGTAACAAACGCCCACACCATTAGAGCAAAAATTTTTGGATTTTTTGTAGCACACTGTTGATAGCAATAAGGTTGAGCTTTTGGACACCAAATACGTAATTTACTTTAATTATTTATCACAACCTGGCATTTCTGAGAAAATAAAATGTCTCCATTGAAAAATGTTCAAATTTAATCGAGTTCTGTACCAAACAATCTTCAGTTTCCCGTTTTTTGTTCCTAAAATTGCTGCAGATTTTTCTAAAAACTGGGCGAACATAGTTTGCGAGATACAATTTCTTATTGTTTTGTAGTGAACTTGATAATGAGTTCTTGCTGTAAGCATTTCATTAATATTTTGTAAAATTTCAGCTGGATTTTGGCGACAAAATTGCAATAATTTTCTAATTTCACGATCAGATTAAATTGATTTTCTCTTGTAACGCTGTTTTGCACTCGACAGTCTGTCTTTTGATTTCTTTCATTATTCTATGAATTGTAATCCTTGAGCAATTTAAAATACGAGCAACTTTTGTTACCTAGTAGTTCTGGCTCTTCAGTCTTAGAGCAATTTCTCTGAACTATTTTCATATTTTCCGCACTATTGTAAATGTCTTTATAATCGATTTGTACTATCTGTATTAATCTGTACTGATTAATCTGTACTGCTTGTAAAAAAAATCCACCTAGCCTTAAGCACAAATCTGTTACACTATATTTTACTACATGATTGCCCTGTAAGTTGTTTTAACTATGGTAACCATTTTTCAGTTTTTTCGAAGATCAATTGCGATATTTTTGGTCGGAACTGTCTTTGTTATTTGCAGGACAACAGATTAACCTTTTAAATACGATTTTTTCAACCTCTGTGTATCTAAGATCGATGCATAATTTTAGTTTAGGAGCAGAAACCACAAAATAATAGCTCGAAATAACTCGAAATATCAGTAAATTTTTCGGTAAAATCTCGGGCGATCCTCGAACTGGAAAAAAATATTCGGTTTCACTCTTATTTTAAATATTTTACTTTTTTTAAAATACTCGACTTCACTCTTTAAAATAGTTTTACCTTTCTTTGGAAAGGGAACTTTGTTGAAGGGAAATGCACTGCAGAAGAAGGAAAAAAAGCCTAATTCACAGATGGAATAATAGTTAAGCAACAATGAATTTTGGCTAAACAACAATGCATTTTGGCTATACATCTAATGGCTGAACATTATCACATTACAAATTGAATAAGAATTTGGTCTAAATTAGTTTCAAAAATAGTAAGTTGCTCTGTATTCATTTAAGTTCTCGATAAACCTATAAAATGGCAAGTTCTAAGAGCGACAACTTCGGCAGTAGTATTTAACGTAAAAAAAAACACAAAATATCAAAACCGAAAGCTCTCAAATTACTTTTGAAATAACAACTCACAGCCCGTCAAAAGATATCGAATTAGGCGCTAATGTCAATAACTTTAAGTCCCAATAGTTCATTGGCAGTTCTTGAACCACTGAAAACATGAATCGTCTGACTTGTGTTTGCTGTTTTCGCTTAGTATAAAATGACCAATTTTTTTTTCCAAATTTAGAGTCATGAGAAGCGAAAATAGGTCTCTGAGGGATGTCAATTCTTTAATTCAAATTTTCTACAGCAGAAATACATATTTTATCCAACTAAAGTTCCGCAAAATTATAATGGTGCAAATTTCAGCTGATGTTTAACGCTGATGAAAATGATTCGTTCTAGATTCAACGATATTTTTGAAAGGATGCTGATTGACCTTCAACTTTTTGTCAAATATGAAATCGATTGTATGTATAGTAGTAACGAGTGCTCTCTTCCAGCAAGATGGCTATTCATACAGGGGCGGATTTAGAGGAGGAAGGGGGAAGCGGACGCCCCCCCCCCTTCCCTCGTGAATTCGACCCCCTGCCGCCCCAAAGGGCACCCCTTTGTACTATTTTGAGAAGCCCTTTTTTGGCCTGTTGTTTTAAAAAATTTTTGGTGTTTTCAAAATTTTGCATGCGGCGCACAAATTTTGAACAAAACAGGGACTTTTTAGTGCTTTGAGAGAGCTCGAAAAATCAATTTGGTCGACCTAAAAAAAAGGTCCACAGCATTTTCGAAAAAATTAGGACAACAGATATAATTTCTGAAAATTTATCAACGACCACAAGTTTTGATTTCGAGTCGAATACTGAACTGAATTATTTATGGGAACCCACTGCTTTTTCCATGTCACTAGTTGTTCTTTCTAAACTAAATTGACACCAGGAACTTAAATAAATTAACACCAGGAACTGAACTAAAATGACACTTTCTGAACTAAAATGACACCAGGAAAAATGAGTTATTCTTGCTGATTTGATTTATTTTTGCTGAGCGAACGTAGGAGCTAAAGATGTTTTTTTTTGGAAATTGTCATATTGCACTTTTCAGCCAAAAGATACTCGTTGAGTTCAAAAGAGTCATTCAATTCAACGGTTTATTTTCTTGACTAGAAGTCAGAGCCAGAAAAGTCATTTTTTGTCGAGTTTATGTTGCATTGCACGTCGAGCCTTTAGTAATTTCAATGCATGAGAAAAATAAAAAAGAGCTAACACCTTTTTTTTTCTTGGTGAAGTAAGAATCAAAGCAGTAATATGAAACGAAATTTCCCATTTAAAAAAGAAGTTGATTTTGTCGCCATCTCAAAAGTTCAAAAGAGTCATTCAATTCAACGGTTTATTTTCTTGACTAGAAGTCAGAGCCAGAAA